CCTAGGCCCCTGGGGGGGGCCCAACTAGTAATCAATGCCAAATCCGGCAAAACAACTGGCCACTGTGATACAATTCTGTTGTTGCGATAATAATTTAAAAAAACAGAGATACCCATTGTCAAAAACAGTGATACCCATTGTCATTGGGTCACTTGGCACCATGTCCAAGAATTTTATAAAACTCATCAAGAAATTGCTGCTCCTTGCAATAACACCAACGGAACTGCAAAAAACTGAACATTGTATATTTTAAGAAGGTACTTGGTCGATACCTAGGACGCTGGCAGCAACCTGTATCAACCATTTGCACCAGTCAATGGTCAATGGAATTTGTGATGCATTTTTGAATGTTCAGTTGACTTGAGTTTCATGTTTAATGAATAAATAATAATAATAACGTTGATGATGATGATGATGATATCATCATCTCTTAAGGAGATACCTGAATTTTAAAGGCAGATTGCTACTATTTTTTGTGCTCACACATTTTTTAAAATATTGCAGCATATCAGCAAGTCCATTTTTAGCAAAGGGGAGGGGTGATGCTAAAAGGGATTTGGGGGTGTGTGCCACGAAGTGTAAGTGAACCCTGCTCTGGGTGCAGTCCCAAAGGGAGGAAGGGCCAGCCTGGGGATTTCCCCCCCCTCCCCAGAAGGAGAGGCTGAGAGTATCCCTATTTCCCACGTGAGAAGCCCACCCTGGGCAGCCTCTGGGGAGGAGGGGCGGGCTTGCAAATGGCTTTTAAGTGGCTTTTGCCAAGTGTGGTGCAGCCTTATTCTCCCCCCCCCCCCACACACACACACCGCCATTCCAGGGCTTTTGCAAAGGGGCTTGCAGCTTTTTGTAAAATTTAAAATGCATTTTGAAAAGCATGCAGTGCAAGCCAAGGGGAGGGGGGCTTGGCTCAGGCTGCCCCATTGCCAAACCAGGGAGAAAGGGGTCAGCCCCGGTTCGTCCCGAGCCCAGGCCTCCACCACCCGCTGCCCCTTCCCCCAGGCCTCTCACCCAGCTTGACGGCGGAGTCAGCCAGACAACGATCCCATTTCCTCCCTAGATCACCCTCCGACGCCATCTTGGCCGCTACCCGCCTCCGCTGCCAATCAAGCCTCCCTCCCGCCTCCCCGGGCGGAAGCCTCGCGAGAGCTGCCACCGCTCTGCCGCAAATCAAGCCGCTCTCGCGAGAGCTTGAAGAAAATGAGGCGGAGGGATTATTTTTTTTAAAGGGGGCGCTTTTGGTTTTCTTTTTTCTCCGCCTGTTGCCAAGGGCAACCAAGGGTGACCCTGGCAACCGGGTGCCAATGTTGACCTTGGGCAAAGTAGGCCCGAAAATCTGGCAGAACCGGCCTAATATGAAGAAATCCATTAGCATCCCCCTGTTCTGGGGTGGGGTGGGGGTGCCAGCCATCCTTGACCTTTTGATTTGCTATTTTATGGATTATATTTACATTATATTATTTATAATTATATTTACATTTTTATTTATATTTATATTGTTTTTTCTATAATCCACCCTGATTTTAGTGGTGACATTATGATATGTGAGAAAGAGATGGGAATAAGTTCCACCCAGATTGATTCCTAATCTTTCGGGGTTGGTGTTTCAACTGGGTGGACTTCAACTCCCAGAATTTTCTGGGAGTTGAACTCTATAAGGTCCTGGCTGAGGAATTCTGGGAATTGAAGTCCACCCAGCTCAATGTGACTCTGGGTGTTGAATACCCATTTCCCATCCAGTGAAACGAAGCCATGGGGGTTTCTGGCAAACCACCATCGGCTGAGTTTGAAAACTGTAATTTTAGAACAAATAAGGATAGTGATAAGGGTAAAGGTTCCCCTCGCACATGTCTGCTAGTTGTTCCTGACTCTAGGGGGCGGTGCTCATCTCTGTTTCATAGCTGAAGAGCCAGCGCTATCCGAAGATGTCGCTTGGGTCATGTGGCCGGCACGACTAAACACTGAAGGTGCCCAGCACACTGTTCCCACCAAAGGTGGTTCCTATTTTTTTTACTTATATATTTACATGCTTTCGAACTGCTAGGTTGGCAGAAGCTGGTGCAAGTAATGGGAGCTCACTCCGTTATGTGACGCTAGGGATTCAAACCGCCGAACTGCCAACTTTTCTGATCAACAAGCTCAGCATCTTAGCCACTGAGCCAGCACGTCCCTACAAATAAGGATAGTGATAGGAGGGGGGAAAACCAAATTTAGGCCTAACTTTGAGATTCTCCTTCGGAGGAAGGTTATATAAATGAATTCTTTCCCAGTGTTGGAAAAAATGTCCTTCTGGTTTCGGCTCCAAGTGGGGAAAAAGACACTGGAGACATGGAGGCTGCTTGGAAAGATGGGTTTAATGGTGGACAGGACCACATGGCTTGATGAGCCCTGAACAGAAAAGGTGATCACATGCTTCAATGTTGATGGAGAAGAAGAGAAGGGAAGGGCTGAGATGCTGAGACCCTGGTTTTATCCCCTCTCTGGCCTTTGTTCTTGATCCTGTATTCTGATTGATTGTCAGACTCCCATGGAGCCATACAGGGGCAACTCTCTAGTCTGTGTTTTGAATCCAGGTTTGGTTGAGCTCTCAGATGCCATGTGGCGAGTTGGGTAAAGTGCCAATATTATCATGCCTTAATCCCATCACCCTGGAGCTGAAGTGAAGAACTCTTTATTATGTAAAGGGACTAGCTTGGCCTTCTTAATGGCCCATTGACAAAAAAAGGGGGAAGGGAGGCAGGAAGCTGC